ACATTTTTCTGATATCCTCTGTTGGAGGTAAATATTAAGCAACGGATTTTTCAGCACTATTATAACGTATACAGAAAACACTTGTATTTTACAATGGCATATATCTTCTATCGTTTACTCAGACAGCGAAATGTTTTAAGAACGATTTCATTTATTCCACAAAAATAGGTACTTACAGTGTATCACAGACTATCTAAGGCCATCGTGGTTCATGATGAAAGGACATGTGGAGTTTACATTTTGTGGGACACAGGCCCTGCCAAAGATCACCCCACTTTGTATGCACAATACTGACGAACTGGGAACTTAGAAATAGATCTGAGTCAAGTTCAGATTAAGATCACAGAAGGCTTTACTGAGGTCCTAACACTTGAAGATACAGACATTTTCTAGGAGAGTGGATTAGAGAAGAGGCTGTAGGCAAAGCAAAAGCATGTACTTGGACAGACCTACAATGTTTGGGAAACTAAACAGCTTGTTTCTTTCAATCACTCTTAAGTGTAGATGCTAGTAGGCATGGGGAGAAACCTCTATCAGAGGTTATCGTTTGCTCCTGGCCTCAGAAATCATAGAATTGGCTTTATATGCACAAGCCATCCTTTTAGATAGTACCTGCAACACTGTAAGTATCCACAGCTCTCAGTTTACCAGGATATACAGGTATATCTGGCCTCCTTTATGAAATGATGATGATAAGAGATAGAAGTTGTTTTAACATCCTTACTTGCTTCTCCCACCAAAAGTTGTCAACCCTGGAGGTTCTCAAAATTTGTTTCTTAAATTTGACAAGTCTATGAAATAAAAAAGGTAGAAAATAGGGAGGAGTCTGATCACTAGCCTAGGGCATCTAAAAATACACACATCCACAATCTCATTTTATTTTTTTTATATATTTAAAAAGATATTTTCTTTATTGATTTCTTAGAGGAAGGAAGAGATAGAAACATTGATGTGAAACAAAAACAATCAGCTGTCTCCTGCATGGCCCCCAATGGGGATCGAGCTTGCAACCTAGGCATGTGCCCTGACCAGGAATCAAACCGGGACCTCTCAGTCCATGGGACGACGCTCAATCCACCTGCTGGCCTCATTTTAATCTAAGTCACCCTTCAGCAATTACTTCATTACATTATACATCTTTTTTTTTTTTCCCCTGAAAGGAATGTTCTTTCACCTTTACTCACTGGATAAAAATTCATTATCTTGAGGAAGCCTCTCCTGATTAAACCCAATCACCCTAACATTCTCATACTTATACTCTGCTTGCATGTTATCCTGCTGCTTTGTCAGTGTGCTCAGGGAACAGTTTCAATGGTGATACGGTGGACAGGGTTACTGATTGAACCCCTTTACTCCGAGACTAGAATCTGCAGGAAGAATGAATTGTCCCCCAAATATTGCAACTTCTTGCCTGTTAATAACACCAATAACCTGATGGTGAGATGGTGAAGAAAAAAATGAAAAGCAGCAATAAAGAGAGTGTATTCTTTATAACACAGCAATAGAGAGCAGTGGTTCGCAAAGTGTGGTCTAGGGACCCCTGGGGTTCCCAAGATCCTTTCGTGGGTTTGTGAAGGCAATTATTTGCATAATACTAACATGTTATTTGCGGCTTTCACTCTCAGTTCTCACAACACACTGTGGAGTTTTCCAGAGGCAACGTGACATATGCTGACATTGTTATGACATATTCTGTGTATTCTTGTGTTTTCTAGACTTTTCTAAGTAAGCTCTCAGAGTCCTCAGTAACTTTTAAGAGTGTAAAGGTGTCTTGAGACAAAAAAGTTGAGAACTTCTGGCATAGAGCAAGAGACATGAGGAAGACAGCTTGCCTAATTAAAAAAAAAAGAAATGGTTTCCCATTTTCCATCAAATTTCCTACCAACCAACCCTCTCTATAACTGAAATTTTCTAACATTGGGAGAGATGTGAAAGGAATGATACATGGGTAACATTTAACTAGCTAGAGAGTGCTCTCAAGAAATATCTTGGGACAAAAGCATGTATTTATGTGTTTTGTTACCAGCTGGAAAGTTTCATTCCAGATAATAAGCAAGACTTCTGAGTCTAACCTTTAGTCAGACTTCTGTCCTGAACCACTAACAGGAGTCCATGACATTTACAGGGGCTCTACCTGAACCACTAGAAAAATATTTGATATGGTCTCCCTCAAACACCTCTCCAAAATGTGCTCATGAGTCAGTTATACTTCCTAAGTTAGCTTTAATCTGCTCCCTAGCTAGGGGTAGAACCTCACTGCTTAACCTTTGCCTCTTGTTTCCAAAACTCATACCTGTCAAGGGGCCCAGGTGACCGTCTAATGCTGCATCAGCACAAATTTGTCTGATTTACTGGGAAAACAACTCAAAGTACAGGTTTTGTCATTAAAAAACTTGTGTTCAGCCAAATAATTTAAAATACATTATAAAAGTTAAATACTTAAAATTCTGTGTAACCAGGACTTCCAAACTCTGGGTATATTTTTGGAGCAAGTTGATGGCAGAAAAACAAACAAACAAAAGATCTAATAAGGCATTTGGACAGTCCCCTGGAAATAACTGGACTAGAGAGTCAAATTTCAATTATTTATGGCAATTATTCATAAGTGCACAAAACTGAAAAATGTTTTAGCAATTTCAACATAGAGCGAATCTTTTAAAGAAAATACAGAGTAATAAGTACATGGATTGTGTACCTGGTTCTCTAATTTAGGTGCTAACATAATTATGACTGAGGTCCTAATAAGGCAAGTAAACTGGGGAGGAAAAAAACAGCTGAACCATATATAAACTAACTCATCAGCCACCAAAATAGTTGATAGTTAGCTTATGAAATTAATTGTTTTTAATTAACATCACTCTCTTCCAAGCATAATCAGCCTTAGTTCCCCTAAAAGCATACAGTAAAAGGAACTATGTGATTTATATGCTTCACAGAAGCATATGTACTAAATTCCTTTATTCTTTTAGGCAAACAATTCTTAAGGTATAAATGGCCACTTAAATAGAAAAGGCATGCAAAGTACCTAACCAGGCACTGTCTCTAGACTGCCAATTTCATATAAAGAGCATAATTAAATTAATGCTGACATCTAGTGGCAAGAACATCTTCCTTTCCTAATGTTAACCTGAATTGTGCCCTATGACACAAAACTAAAGACACCTCCAAATCCCCACAAAAGATTATCTATTAACCTCAAGTAAATAAAGGAATAAGTTCTCTTGTGATAAAGCAGAGAAGGGAAAAAAACAAAAAACATCTGAGGCATAAAACGAGCTGCAGACCTTCAGTGGGAAGGTGGGACTCAGAGGGCTGGTCAGGGCTCCTTGTGAAAAACCTTGGTTTGAAACTACAAAACTGTATCCTAAAAGGCTAGCATAACGTACCTAAAAATTAAGAATGCAATTGAATATTTCACTTGAAAGAAATGTCACTTAATAAATTATGGGATGTGTTTTAACTCTGTCCCCTAGGATGAGCTGGTTCCTCTCCCCTTTAAAAATGGTTTTAATTTTTTAAAAAAGTAAAACTAACAAAAGAACAAAAACCCCACAGTTTTCCCCAACACTTACATAAAACAGAACTGTGACCATTCCAAGCTTTGCAAAGCTATTGTCTGGCTGAAAGGCTCAATTCAATAAAATGTTATGCCCAATTTCCAGACACCATGAATGTATAGCATGACTCTGATCAAACACCATTCTTTAAACAAATCTGAAGGAATATTTCAGATTCTACATGAAATTCTAAGGATGACATGTTTTGAAAATTCAGGGACAATTCATTTTGAAATACTTTTCAACTGAAGAATTTTCCATCCTGCAGACTGGAATGAACTGCTGTATTGACTAGAAAAATAGAAGTCATCAGTTTGAATTAATATTAATAAGCTTGATTAAAAAAATAATAAGTGTGATTTCTTTTCAAAAATGCAGTTACAATCAATTTTAAACGGGAGGTTTAAACCTAAAATACGGCATATTGATTAGTCAGAAAATGCTATACACAGCACATTCAGAAATATGTCTTTGTCCTCTTAAAAACAATCCCAACCACAGATTTAGCATCTACACAGTCGGTTTGCAATCACTTCAAAATGTCCACCTCCTTAATTTCTTTCCCACTTAAAGATAAATTCACTGAAAGGAGGCAAAACATGACGGAACTAAGACATTCATCAAACCTCATCAAACCTTCAGCCAAACCTCAGGAGTGAAATAAAGCCCCAACGGCAAGTTCAGTTTGTATAAATCACGGGCTGAACGAACGACTGTGACGTTAAGGGGTACGGCCTCTCCCGGAGCTGGGGTCGGCGTACACCGCCAGCTAGAAAATGAACTGCAAGGAAGGAAACCCCGGGTCAAGGGGCAAGTTGCCGCACTCGGGTGGGCAGTGTCGCCGGTGCGGCGAGGCCGGCACGGGAATTTCTCAGGCTCCACTGAGTTGCCGGGTCAATTACAGGGGGTGGGCTCCCTCCGCGAGTCTCGGCCGGGCTGGGGAGACCCACCAGCCTACTTGATCTTCTCCAACAGGGAAACTTGGGTGGTTGGGGGAACAATACGTTCTTCTGGCGGACAAACCCAGCCCGGCTGGGATGGTGGGGTCACCCCGCCTCCCTGGGAGTTGTCCCCCGACCTGGCCGGGGCTCGGGGGTGGTGGACAAAAGGCAGTGGAGGAGCCCACTCGGGTGTCCACGCTCGGGCCGGGGGCAGAGGCGGGGAGCCCAACTCCCGCCACCTCCTCCCCGCTTCCGGGCGGGGGGGCACGGAGCACCCCCAGGCCAAGTTGCCCCAGGCAGTCGCCCCAGCCCCGAGGCGAGGGCGGCCCCGGGACAAACGCCGCTGACAGGCGCCGAGAGAGACTTTGGGGCGGGAGGGCCGCGCTCCTGCTCGGGCACCGGCCGGGCTCGCGGGGCGCCCTCCCGGAACGCGCTCCCCTCTCCGTCCCTCCCAGACCTCGGCCCGGCGGAGAGGGCGGCGGGGGTCCCGCGGGGGCCTCACCAGGCGGAGCTGGCTAATTTCGTCGTAGGACATAAAGCTGAGGATGTTCTCGATGGCTACGATGGGCAGCGCCACCAGCGTGTTGTTTTGAGGCAGCTGGTCCGGAGCCAGCGCCGGGGCTGGGGGCGCCTGGGACCCCGGCGGCGGGGGCGGGGGCGGGGGCGGGGGGGGCAGGCGCTGGGTTGAGCCGATGGCCGAAGAGGAGCCGCTGTCGCCGTGGCCGCCGCCTCCTTCCTCAGCCATCCGATCCTCCGACGCCGCCGCCATCTTGGGGGTTTAATTCCTTCCCCCCACTGCAAGGGGATCAGGGACACTTCCGGTGCGTCACTTCCTCCCCTTGAGCCGCCGGGGCGGGGACACCTGGAGGAGGGGGAGGAACTTGTGGGTGACGGGAAGAGACGCGCACAAAGCTGTTTGTTCAAGTGGCCTGAGGAAGAGCCTGTGAGCGCCCGGCGAGGTGATCTTTTACCTACGGCGGGAGGGCAGGGGAGCCCTGGCTGTCACCACTGACCCCCGGTGCAGTTTTCCTGAACCGCTTCCTGACAAAGGATGATACAAATAATGTTGCCCAATAAATGTAGACAGAGCCATGCATTTAGAATATCATAATTTTTCAAAGATCAGAGTAAAAATTGATTTAAGCAAATAAAAAGGAATGAAGTACCTATTAAAACTACCATATGGATGAAGCTTGAAAACATGTTAAATGAAAGAAGCCAGAAACAACCACATGTATGATTCCATTTATATGAAATGTCTGAAATTGCCAAATCCACACAGACCGACAGCAGATTAGTGGTTTCCAGAGGCTAAAGGGAGCAGAGGAAAGGGAAATGTTTGCTAATGGGGTGCAGGACTTCTTGCAGTGATGAAAATGTTTTGGCATTAGATCATGGTGATTGATGGTTCCATAACCTTATGAGTATACTAAAAACCACTGAATTGTGCACTTTATTTTTATTTATTTATTTTTTATCCTCACCCGAGGACATTTTTGCATTTATCTAGAGACAGCGGGAGGGAGAGAGGGGGGAAGAGACAGAGAGAAACACTGATGTGAGAGAGACACATCTACTGGTTGCCACCCACATGACCTCAATGGGGGCTGGGACAAGCTGCAACGGAGGTATGTGCCCTTACCAGAGCCCAGCCAGGGCCTCTCTGGTCGAGGGCCGACACTCCAACCGCTAAACCAAACCAGCCAGGGTGAATTGTGCACTTTAAAGTAGTACATTTTATATGTGAATTATAGCGCAATAAAAATTTTGATTTAGGTGAGAATCATCAAAAGATGCTAAAACTAGAAAGTAAAGGTATGATATGGAACATAATGTTTACATAGTCTCAAAATAACTCCCCACAAATCATACATTAGTTACAAAGATAAAAGAGAAGTACAATAGAGAAACTTGGTAGGCAACCACCATAATCAAATGATCAAAATTAGAATCATGAGTTATGGAAGGAATGGACATAATTTGCCTCCTGATATGATACCTCCAAAAGGACATAACATAATGTATACTCCTGCAAAAAAAAAAAAAAAAAAAATGCATATACTGTATTTGAGGTAGGCAAATCTAGATGACTGCTCCATACTCTCCAAAAATATTAATGTCGTAAAAGACAAAGACTAAGGGTTTGTCCCAGATTAAGAGACTAAAGAGTCAAGACAACTAAATCCTTGGGTGATCCTGAATTGGATTAGGAAAAACAGCTGTAAAGAACATTATTATGACAGTTGGTGAACTTTGAATATCAACTATATTAGAAGTTGTAATAACATAAAATTTCCTGATTTGGATAATTTGATTAGGGTCTTATAAGAGAATATCCTTATTCTTAGGAAATACACACAGAAGTATTTATGGGTAAAGGGACATAATGCCTCAATTTGCTGTCAAGTCATTCACTAGATAGAGAATGAGATTAATACAGCAAATATGATAAATATTAACAATTGGTGAATCTGGATGAAGAGTATCTGAGGTCACTTGTAGTATCTTGCAATTATTTCAAAATAAAAAGTTTTTTATTTTTATTTTTCAGTGACAGTTGACATTCAACATTACATTAGTTTCAAGTGTATAGCAGACATTGTTGTTTATGTATATAATTAATATATAATTTATGAAATTATTCCCCTCTGATAAGTCTAGTACCCACCTGGCACCATGCATAGTTATTACAATATTATTGATTGTATTCCCTATGCTGTACTTTAAATCCCAATGACTATCAAAATAAAAAGGTTTTAAAGGTTGCTTAATATTTCCATATTTTTGCATCTTCATAATATCCTATGACAAAGGTCAAAGTGCACAAATCACTAAATTTTGAAGCTTTCTGTCCTTCAGTTCTGGGTCTTAATCTTAGTTTCCAAAATGTTCTTTCCTTTGCAGCTTTGGTTTGGAATCCAATTGTTGGATGGTAGATATGGAAACTACAAAAAAATCTAAGCATGACTGAGGGTGACAGGAAATGGGGGGGGGGGCAACTAAAGCAAGAAGATCAATTGGAAGTGGTGGTGGTTAGCTTATTAGAATTGGTATCTTTTCCCTATTCATGGGCAAGTAAATGATTTATCATTTTACTTATCATTGTTGCAAATTGTAAAATCCTTTGAAATTATTTCTTTAGTTATTCTACTCCAGGGTTGTTTAGCATTCAGTAAATGCTTTATGCCTAATGTTTCTGACACATATGTATAATTAAAAAAAAAATTTTTTTTTTTGAGAGAGAGAAACATCAGTGTGAGAGAGAAACATCAGTCAGCTGCCTCCTATATGCCCCCTCCTGGGGTTTGAGCCCAAAATCTGGGCATGTGCCCTGACCAGGAGTAAAACCTGGACCTCTCAGTCCATGGGATGAAGCTCAATCCACTGAGCCACACCAGCCAGGCCACATGTGCATATTTTTAATGCTAGTTTTATCTCCAGTGATAGATTGTAATTTCACTTTTCTACTTAGAGTGTTGCTATCTCTTCATAGAACCTGTTACAATTTGGTCTGAAATGAATTCATTTTCTACCTTGTTTGATTAAAGTAAGATACTTTCTTGGAAGGTTGGATTAAAATGGAATTTCTATATATGGATTCATGTTTGCAATACATTATGGGAGCTCTTATTATAAAGAAAAATCCTTTAAAAGTGAATTGTCATTCCCTAACCTAATTTGTCTATTTCTTAAATCTACTAATTAAATGTAATTTTGTTTTGCTTGAAATGGGCTATGTTTTCTTTTCTTTTCTTTTCCCTTGTCTCTCTACATGCGATCAACTAGTTAACATCTATCACTGATCTAAACAACACAATACGACATTGGAAACAATTTAAACCACTTCCTGCCAGTAAGCTCATTCACATTGTCCTCTGTTTATGTACATTGGATCTGTGCCCTTGTATTCCCTACACATTTTTTTAATAGAGAAAATTTCAAAACAAATGGTTGCTTTGTTTTAGTTATTAAAATCAATGCTTGTTTTGGAGATGCTTTCCAATCAAAACAAGTACTTGTAACTAAAACAAATATTTGAACTTTTAGGAGGAGTTCTGGGTTTTAAATGTGCTTTTTATGCCAGCAAAGTACCAAAGGACCTTTGCAAGCTAGTAATCTCAAGTACAGAATGGACATATGCATCTTAACATCTATTTTCATATTTATACAAGGGATAATATTACCTTTCTTTTTCTTTTCTTGTTTTTTTTTTTTTTAATATTACCTTTTTTTCTTTTGACTCACAAAGTTAACATGAGCATGAGCTGAGAAAACAAATAGGTGGAGGTTTGAATTCCTCAGATTAAGGATATTCAAGTCAATTTACTCTAAAGCAGACACAACACATTACCCTGGCCACCCTATCTGCATCTGCCTTCCTGGCCAGGGTGTGCATGGGGGGTAGGGTCGCGTCAGCTGCAGTGAGATGTGGAGAGGGGCGATCTAGGCTGTCCAATGGCAGTTCCACAGGAAGCCTGGCTTCATGTATGAAAGAGAGGAAACGAAAACCAGACATTGTTTTTCCTATTATTAGCAGAATTGTAACATATATAGAAAGAAGGATGACCTCATAGGCTAACTAAAAAGCGGGTTGAGAATTTCTATGGATTGTAAATGATTAACTGTTTTATTTCTTTTTAATTGTAAAAGAAAAACAAAAAACACAACACAAAATTTACCATCTTAACCATTTCTAAGTGTACCGTCCAGTAGTGTTAAATATACTCGCATTGTTATGCAGTCCGTCTTCAGAACTCTTCATCTTGCAGAGCTGAAAGTCTGTACCTGTTCAGCCACAACTCCCCATCCCCCCAGGTCCTGGCCTTGGCAGCCCCATTCTCCTTCCTGTCTCTATGAATTCCACTGCTCTAGGTACCTCATGTAAGCGGAATCATAACCAATATTTGGCCTTTTGTGACTGGCTTATTTCACTTAGCATAATGCCCCCATGTTGTAGCATGTGTTAGAATTTCCTTCCTCTTTAAAGCTGAACAATATTCTATTGTAGCCCCACTCACCCCCTGTCTACACACACACACACATTGGGGTGGCAGTGGCTGCCTCCACCCAGCAGCGGAGCTGGTGGTCTCCAGCCTCCACATTGACACCCAACCAGGGGTCGCACAGTATTGATGTCGCACAGCACAGAGACGACTGAACAGCGGCCTCAGAGGAGGCGGTTGGGGGCTGGCTGATTTTCATACCAACGTTTCCAGAGTGGGTGATCAAACACGTATAAACTGGGAGGACCACATGGTCTTTTCTGATATTTACCACGCTAATGAAGAGTATTTCAGGAAACTGCAAGAGCTGAAGGCTTCCCACATGGAAATGATGGCAAAGTCAGAGAAAATGCACCAGAATAAATTACATTTAAAGGAAGTTCAGCCAGTGGTCATCAGGGAAGAAGCTTCTAAAGTCAAGTCTATGTCTGTATCGGAAAAGAACTATCACATGCTCTCAGAATTTGATGTAGGTCGTTCTTCCTCCTTGGTTGTGTCTTCCTCTGAAGATGAGTTGCCCAACTTAGAAAAAGAATGTCCTGAGAAGAATGGAATAATGACCTATGCAAGGAGCTCATCGACATGGGGACAAACTTTCCTGTTAAAGATTATATTCAGTGAAGGTGCTGATTCCCAGCAGTTGAAAAAACAAAGAAGAAACCAAAAGAATGGGTGCCAAAGATGACAGCACCTGAGCCTTTTCAAAAGATGATTCGAGAACAGAAGAAAAAAGAAGAGAACGTGAAACCCCAATCAGATATTGAAA